AGATTTATTTCGATTAGGTAACGCTTTCGATTTTCCAGACTATGTGACTATCGCCGATTTCTCTCAGCTCCTTATTCTTCTCTTTAATCCGATGCGATGTGGGCGTGAGCATTGCATCAACGGGAAGTATTTGTCAATATGAATCCATAAAATGGACATGTCATGAGACCGGATTCATTAAAACACAATTGTCATCATTAAGGCTGTAATATACAAACAAACTTAAGCAGTAAGACGTAAGAAGTAAGCAAATCAACATTTCGAATTTCCTTTTGTTACTTTCGTATTGTCTTGTGTCTCTACCCCCTACTGTGATTAATCGATTCGCTTACTGTTCATATCTTACTGCTTTACGATGTTTTGTGTGCCATAGCTTTTAATCAAACAGGTTTATTGTCATTACTATTATGTTCCTAATGAAGTTAAGCGTTATCGATGTAATATCACCTATCGCAAACACCCACTTGCGAATGAGGTTACAATTATGATAACAATAATCTGATCAATATATAACTCGATACAATAATGATTGCTATCACCTACCTTTGAATTTAAATACGTCTCAACCTAATTCCTTATCTCTAATACCTAATCTCTAGCCTGCGAACGAACCTGCAGTGTGTTATACTAAAATCAATGCGGTTGTTTACACACTTAATAAATATATTGTAGGCATATTCTAGGCTATCGTAAAATGGAATTTTCAGAAATTGTATTTTTGTAAATTCCATGTAATCACAAATACTGATATTATATATAATATCAATAAGACAATCAGCGATCAGAAGTAAGATCGAGAATCGGAAAAAACGACTCGAATTGTCTCTGCACTTTGTCACGTTGCAACGAAAAAAAAAAGAATAGAAGAAATCAGATCTAGAGTATATTGATGTCTCTAGAGAATATCATTAGCATGTGATTTTCACAGTAGCCATTTATGACTGCTGCCTGATTTTTCAATGATTACTTTTAATGAAGGTCATCAGTGATTGGCCTCTGTTATCGTGATTTTTTAAAACAGTTTATAAGAAATAAATGTCATCTAATATAAAATGTTTAATGATATAGATAGCTAAATATAAAAAATACGCTATTATCATCAACGTATTATATAGTGTAATGGTGGTCTTATTTAATATTACATAATATTTTAACATTATATACTTGTGAAAATCCTACTGCCCACAATAAAATACACAAAACTCACTGGCAAACGTTAAATAACCATCAGAGCGAGCGTTGAAGTAAAGAGAAATTTCGCGTGAACCGTAGCAATGTGCCAGATTTTATTTGTTCAAAAAACATCTCCAAAATTGGATCAGGAATGAGTTGGAGACGTTTTATTTGGGTATCTTCCTTAAAACATTTTTGCCTAAAAACGATCAATGATTTATAACGAACCAATGTTGTAATTTCGTGTTGACGATGAACAATTTAGGAATAAAACACGTGAGAAACGAGAGCACTTAATAAAAATCGCGTAGATTCAGTTGATTCAGTTGGCAGATTTTGAGCGCTTACAACCGTTTGCCTTCTTCTAGTGCTTGAAGATTAAAAAATTTGAAACTCGAAATGACTTGCCTAAACCTTGTTCAAAAGTGTTTTCAGCACCAACACCCACCGAATCATCATCATTATCCGAGCGAAGAACCTCATTTAACAGTTGCTGTTCATATAACGGTTTCTCTCTTCCTCGACGTTCGCCGTTCGTTTTCTCCTCGGTCACGTCGTTGCGTAACCTCCTTTATGCATATACACGGTGACATTTTTTTAGTACAGCCAGCCTCGTATATCTGACGACATTATAACTATATCAGAGGAAACAAGAAAACGCAGCAAAGCTAGCTCGCAGAAGTTTTATAGCTATCGCGTGCGTAATGAAAATACGGAAGTAAAAGAAAAGGACTAATCCGGCGAGACTTGAATCTTATCTTTCTATCAGACATTTCGGGAACTGTATAGCATTTACGACGAGTGTACTATTTGTTTATTAACCCCTTTAGGGTTGTCGCAAAACTGGAAATCAGAGAAATGTTAGGAAAATTGAAAACGACTAGGAAAATCAGGGAGAAGTCAGGGAATTTTGTAAAATTTTCTGGAAAATTAAAATTCTTGGCTTTGAAGAAATTTAATATGCGTACATCACATGCAGTTTTGGAATACTGTCAACTGAATAATTAAATGCAAGCAGTGTCAGCAACATTATTAATAATTGAAATTGCTAAATTGCTCTCTTAACAAAATATTCGACGGTTTCCAAATTAGGACAAAAATACAAAAAAATTCAAAATAATATTGAAAGATCAAGGAAAATAATGAAATTTTGTCTAGAAATTAGAAAACAGTAAGGAATTTAAAGATGATAAATTTATGGCAACCTCACTTTAGAAGACAGGAGGATCTATTTAAAAATTTTTATAGCTTTTTTTGAATAAGGTTTAAGGCACATGATGCATTTTTTCGTGCTGACTTTCAATCTATTATAATAAATTACTAAAAATTCTGCTTCTGTGTTCAATTCTATTTAATTTAGTTATTTATTAAAACGCAAGTAATCCACAAGCAATCCTAGTATTTTACTAAAATATAAACAATCCAGCAAGAAAAAAAATGTGTCGTGTATCTTAGACTTTATTATAATTTATTGTATTCAAAAAAAAAAAAATATATATATACACTGTTTCAGCGCCATTACAGACATGACTTTCCATTTCGTAAAGATTAATTCTTTCAATTAATTTTTGTCAATTCTCTTGGGAAATATCAACTAATTTTCATGTTTGTTTAGCCGGTTGTCCCTGATAGTCTAAACGTCGAGATGGATAGTCGAAAGATACGGATATTTGCTGTGTGCCTAAAGCGAACACAGCAATAGGAAGAATTGGCGACGTGAAAATTTATCGCAAATCACGCATTGCAGCTGTGCTAATGCGATACAGTCATCAACGTGTTTATCGATGAGCGCATTGCACCTCGCGAATCTGATCGTTATCAGCATGCGCTTTAGGCACAACGGCTGATGAAATACGCAACGTGGAAAAAAACAACGTAGTCGAAGTTCACCCGTCGCGACATACCTCGTGCAGAGCGGAAATGTGCGTGTCAATGTTTACGGCCAGTCGGTTTACGGACTTTGACCAACGAAAGGAAACAACAATACGCTTTTTAATTACGCGCCGAGCCAACTCGACACGTGGACAAACGCCACTGAAATTCTTGCCATTCACAATCGCATGCCTACCTGCCTACTAGATTTCGTCGTCTAATTGTCGATATAAACAATTTGATTGATTGCTTAATTGAAAATTCAGCAAAAAAAATGGCTTTACAATTGTTGTAAAATTCTTTAATATGATCAATCTTGCCTTTAATTTCTCACTTAGGTCTACTATATCTAAATATCATACAAGAAAAGAGTATATTACGTATATTTAAAAAAAAAAATGATCCTGAAACGGAAGGAAGGTATATTTAATATAATAAAATTTCCAAAACATAATTTTTTATTGATAATTCTCATTAATATAACCTTATAAATATAATTTTATAAATATAAAATTTTAATCAATAATGAAAAGTTTAACGACTTCAAAAGACTAGAAGTACTCTTGAAAGATTGATAACCCTATCCTCACTGGATTTAAATATGTAAATCAATCCTTTTTTTTTATTTTATGATAGTTGCAAAGCTATTTTTTTTTTGCTGGACATAATCAAATATCTCGGCGTGAATAGGCAATAACTATTCGAGTCGATGATATTCGAATTTTGATAACTTTTTTCCGATATAAGCAAGCTAACAAGAATTAAGTACGCAGTCCGACAATGTATTCTTCTTTGTTCGTCCTTCCTCCTTTTTTAAATCTTGTTTTCTTTTTTTCTCTTCCAAAGACAAGACACACAAGTCAGAATTAATACCGCGAAGCCGTGAACATCGTCGAGACCGAGGAATGTCATTATCCAGAATGGACAGGCAGCCTTGTCTCGCAACGCATTTTTAAAAAATATGCCGCTATTTAAAGGACAGTACACAGTGGCTTATAAAAGCGTCATCATGTCGCGGGATGAGATGGAAATAAGGAGAGGGCCTTCGACTTTTCACGTAAAAAATTCTACGGCCAACGCTTGTTAACAATTTTATTCGCAATGCGACACCGCATTTCTTCGCACAAAAAGACAAAGTTTTCGCGTTTAGACCAAGAATCGACAAATTGCGATCCGCGAACTAAGAATACTTTTTATATTCTTAAATAAAATTGAAAAAAATCAGAGAAAAATAATGTCTGTAACGTGTGAAAATTAGATAAAAATTTGAATTTTAAAACCTCTTACAATTAAAGTCTTAATGCTTAAAATATTTTATTTTAATTAAAAAGTATCATATAATTAAATTAAAATATTATAAAAACTTCAATTTCTATTAATTCTCTACTTGCAATTATATTTTTACTCTCTCCGTCTTACAATTTGGGTCTTTTTTTATCCAATCCAAGTTTTTCTTTACTGTTCTAGACTTTCAAAAGATGTAAAAAAATTCAGCGTTTTGACATCTATATAACATTATCCAAATAAATATTATAAGATATTTTAGAAGGAGGAACCGGACCTCTTTCATTTTAGAGAAATTTGAGAATAAAATTTCACTTTGTACTAAAAGGAAGGACCTAAATTGCAGACGGAGAATCAAGATGTTTATTTTAATAGATATTATAATCTAGTCGTTTATACAGAAAAGATTTGCCGATTCCTAATTTAGACAACAATATTATCTTATCGCCGAAAGGCAGTTTCTAAGCCGAGGTATTTATTGGGAGCGAGGGGAAAGATATTCCAAATAAAAGCACACAGAAACAATGCTACATATATTTCATAATCAACATATATTTACGTTCAAAGCTGTACGACAACGTCTTTATCCTGAAAAGGGTGTTCGTTGGACACTCCTTCTGTAAACAAAAATGCGAGACGCTCTTTTCGTTGTTTTGAGAAAGTCTTAAGATGATCTATTTTAACAGCTTATGTATATCAGTGGAAGAAACAAAGGTTGAAATTTGAGATTATCAGATTTCACTCAACCAGGTTGAGTGTCCAATGAACTCCCTTCTATGATCCTCACCAAGTTGACAATCTTGTGACTTTCAGGATTAAACTGTAGTATTGCGGCTATATCAGGATTACTGGTAAAATCATAACGCGCGTGCCGCGTTAGTGTGATCGCGATTCGATTCATACTCACAACGTTTATGAGCATCATTTGTCTTTGTTTAACATTCGACAAATATTAATAAAGATAAAATGATTCTTAAGCGTGAATCGAACCGTGACCTGTGTGATAAGACGATTCTACGGAATCTGTAGTGAGATCATAATCAGCTGGCGCGAGTGCGCCTCGTACTTTCTTACTTTACTTTTCATTATTCAACCACGTCGCTAATTGTCCATCAAGCTTTAAAAGACTGATGGCGATGAGTAAAACTTACTGTGTTGCCTTCCAACAAGCGACACGGTGCGACACAGTGATCATGTCATCTTTGTTTAACATTGACAAACAACAAGGATATAATGACTCATTGTGTCACACCGTGTAACTTGTGACTTCCCAGTCGCTGTTTTCTCCACCGTTAGTTTTAAAGTATCGCAAAACTCGCCTTACAGTCGATTTTCACGTTAAAATTTAAAAAGAACGAAACGCCGAAAGAAATTTTACTCATCGCAGATGCTACTTATAAAATTACGGGTTATAAAATTACGGTACGCGAGGATAGAAAAATATATATAAATACATATTGTACAAGATAATACTATCGTTACAAAATCCGTTGTGTCTCCATATTACTTAAGCGCGATATTTACATTTAAATATTACATTCGTTCGCAACAGACAATTCGGCCGTTACATGATTATTTAACGGTATGATTGCGAGCGATGGAGATAGTCGATATATGAAGAAGATTGTCGATATATAAAAGCGCTGGCAGTCTCTCTCGTGAGAATATTATTCACATACGTATATATATATATATATATCTATTATTATACGCTCAATCGTTATGACGACTCGTCGTGTATTCGTCGAAAACTGATAAAAAACAAAGCGTATGTATCATACACGTGGCCGATATGCGTAACAATATGTGGCTCGCAAACTTCGTTTGCTGAAACATCGCACTTGATAGCACTATGCACAAAAAGAAAAAAAACCTTGCGGCTGATAACACTCAGGATATCAGTAATAATATAATTCCGTGTATCTTTCTGCGTCTATTTGCACAAGAATGCAATTTGATCGAAATCCATTCGACCGCACGAATATGCGCGCACACGTGAAAGAATATCATTTTTGTAAAGAGAAATACTACGCTTCTCATTAACTTTCAATGAGTTTTAATAAATTTTTAACAGTGCAATTAAACGCAATAAGGACAATTTTAATCGGAGAATAAAATTAATCAACAAATCAATTGAAATTAATTAAGTTACGAAATCCGTGAGTTGAGCATTTTCTTTATATTCTTTTCAGTTAACGAGTCACGTTTTAACGGATAGTACTCAGCATTCGTTCAAGAAAAATCCACGGTGGAATTTAAATATGGACCATCGGAGAGGCACTTACCAGCATCAATGACGCCGCTCGTCCTCTTCGCGAAAAAAAGATGATACTGAATGAAATATGATTGGTAAGATGGAGTGTGCATGATAAAGGATGGTAAAGTGATACGTTATATCGAATAATAAAGACATACGTATCCATGTTAAATACGTAGATTTTCACGAATATACATATTTTTGCGAGTACAAAATTGCGCTCCATAATGCAATATATAATATATGTACAAAGTATATATAAAACGCTTATGAAAATTACGTATATACAATACAAAACACATACGAATATATATAAAAATGCACATCGGAGAAAAATAAAATTCAAAAGAAAAGAATAGTAGAATAATTAATGTTTGAAATGTAAAGAGTTCAATCAGTAATCGATCATCGTTCAGTTAAAAAGTAAAATTAGTTCGAGATAAAGTTTTAAAGTAATATCGATAGCAGATCGATAGCAGTCAAGTAAAAAGTGCAGTATTTAGTGACAGTATATAGAGTAGTACATAGTAGAGTAGTATGAAAAATATAAAGAGTATGAAAAATAATAAATAGATTTAAAGTCTCTGATAAATGTTCGACTGCGCGTAGTCTGTTATAAATTTCTCCGTGATTGTCAATTATTTTACGCGCTATATGTTACGTTTGTGTTATGTATTGTGTGCGTATAATATGTGAGTACAATCGCGTCCCTTATCATCAGAGGCGAACGTGAGGACGCAGGAACGCACGTGAGGAACGCATTGCACTATATGTGTAATATCACAGATTTCACCCCTGGAAACGAACACTAGGAAAAAAAAAAACGCGGTTCTTCCTGATTTATATTTACAAGTTAGTTCAATAACACGCGCTTCCTGTCGCGACATTATCTCACCGCGAACTACTGCCAAGACTATCGTATAGTTCTTGTTCACGTAGATGAGTCTTTTTTTCTCGAGATGGCGATTTAATCTAAGATTTTATCTACCAAACAAGAGACTGCTGCCACTCGTATTGGGCCTTTCGCAACACTAAATCCATAACGACCCGGGCATCCTCGATGGAATCGTGTGTCTCTTCCTGTATTTTCCGGTTGAGCACTTTCCGCGCCAGAGTCTTGAGACCGTTACGATATGGCAAGCCGAGGTAGTGCGGGAACATCACACTGGTGTCGACGACGTTCATGTGGATCAGGCGCAGCGCTTTGAGGTCGTTCCCGAGACCGTGGCCCATTAGAATCGTCTCGGCGTGGATGAAATTGAGCAGGTCGTTCTGCACCTCCGGAAGAGTCTTGGTGACGTTGGACATGTCATCTTCCGTGATCCCGCTGAACTTCGTGTTGAAGTCGATGATCTCGGCGCTCGGCTTGACGAGCGTGTCGTACACGACCTGGCCGTACAAGTCGACGAGACTCACTCTGGCGAGTTCCAGACCCTGCAGCGTGAAGCACATCTCACAATCCATCGCGTAGATGCCGTAGTTGTTATCGTGTAGGAACATTGGAGACGGCATGGTGTGCACATATCCCGCGAAGGGCCCATTGATCCCAGGGACCAGACCAGTCCATACATGCGTCTTCCATTCAGCACAACCGCGCGAGAATCTGGCCTGGTTGCAGCACGTCCAATACCAGCTGTCGTTGGTCATGCGGTTGTACATCTTGCCACAGTGATAGACGCAACGTTCCGCGTTCAGGTACTCGCCGTTCTGATTGGCATAGAATACCTTGTAGCATCTTGCGCATGTTCTCTCCAACAATCCTGTATTGCCGCTTGCGCCTGATCCTTTCTTCTCCTCTCGGCCCTTTCTATTGGCTGAATTATTCTCGTTTTCGCAGCCCGTTTCTTCCAGTCTCTTGTCGGTAGAACAATCCTCGTCTTGGGTGCTCTTCTTGACGTCCAAACTGCCATCTCTGTCGCAGCTCTTCCTGTGTTCGGAGCTCTGATTGCCCGGACTAGTCTCCCTGTCGGAATGGCTCCCACTATCGCAGCTCTTTTCGTTTTCGGAGCTCTTCTTGTCATCCGAAATACTTCTCTCACTATCCGAGCTGCTTTCACTGTTACATCCCCCTTTCTTGTTCTCGGAGCAGTTTTTCTCGTCTCGATTCTTCTGCTTATCGAAACTGTTTTCTTTATCGAAGTTCTTCTCGTTATCGGACGAGCTCTCCTGCTCGGAATTGTCGGACGAGCTGGAATTGCTGTATTGGCCGCTGTCACTCTCAATCTTGGGGCCTGATGGATATGATACGTTGTTTATCATCGCGTAACCCGGAAAGAGATTCGACACGATGGGATAGCCATGTTCAAACAATTCCTTCGGTGACAATATATATTTGTTGATCGTGGAAGCCAGGCAGGTAGGCATATCGTTCAGGAACATCATCTGCCGCTGGCTCTCGTCCGGGATGTCATCGTTGCTGGATGTGTCGCTGGTAAACACCTCGAGCGATGAAGGCTCCTCCGACGCTTTACCGATATGTTGGAAAGAAAACAGTGAAGATCCCCGAGTCCTGCTCCTGGACGCTTTTCCTGTTTCTTTATCTTCACGGCGTGTGAAGCTTTGCGATTCTCTGCAGTCCGTCTGCAGTGACGAAGATGTCTTCTTCTTGAACTCTTTTTTCTTATACGTATGCCCGGAAGATTGGACATGCTTTCTCGTCTCTCGCAAGCTCTCATCTTTATTTCATAGGGACAAACAAATATACGTAAATTACTCCGCAGTCTACATTGCTAAAGATGTCTACACACAAAACACACACACACACACACACACACACACACACACACACACACACACACGCATGCAGATCTGATCTTTCTATCTTTCTCTTTCTTTCTTTCTTTCTTTCTTTCTTTCTTTAATTATACTAATTAATGAAGAAATCTCTGTTAATATTCGGTACAGTACGAATGGTTGATACACAATGCGAAAAGATAAGCAAAGCGGGTGTCTTATAATTCAACGAACTCCTGCAAGATTGATTCTGATAGAGATTGAAATCGATAGATCGCGTTTAAACGAGATACCGTTTCATTCCTTTTAAGACGAGACGATAAGACAGATAAGAGAAATTTATTCACGTGCCAATTTTACGATAATCCGCACGACACGTATACTTTCATTGTCGTTAAAATCGTGACGAAGGTGCTTTCGCTTATGTACGAAGAAGACCGTGAATTTTTGGTAAACGTGCTGCGGACGGCCGCGTTGCGTGTGTTCTTGACCCAAAAAACATCTTGTTTTTTTCGGCTTCTGACTACACCGACAGGAACGATAAAATGTTGACATAATTTCGTTCGCCACGTTTTGTACGTGGGTGTATAGACAGAAAACAGGCAGACATCGGATATGCAATTATCCGAAAAATGTTGCGCGATAAAAGCGAAAGCGCGTTCATAAAAAATCCTTTAGAATCGGTTAAATCACTCTCACTTGAGCCAATAGCGACAGTCGGATGAAAACAAAACAAAACGGAACGTATGTTATAGCATAAAGACGAAAAAGAGCACGAGCTAGGAAAAAAACAATAGAATTGTTTTTGATAAATGCAGAAATACTTGTGCAATTCTAAGAAATATTGAGAACAAAAGACAGGAATTCAAGGATTAATGCATCTTCAGACATCGACAGCACACACCTGTTGGACTTGTGTTGTTTAAGGTCGCGGAAACAAATGCGATAGTACGCTAGTAGAATACTCCAATACAGACGAACGCTCGATACAGATATGCAAGGTAAAGATAGGACGAGTGTAGGGCCAGGTGAAGTCAGATGAAAGGTGTTTCTCAGCAAGACACAACACATACTTCTAGTTCCGTAAAGCGCATAATGCGCATGATGATCATGTTAGCCTCGCGTAACATTCGGTAAACAACAAGTTAAAATAATACATCACATGCGCCTTATGCATTTTGCGGAACGCCACAATCTAACACAGTATTTCGTCTTTGTTCAACATTGGTAAACAACAAGGATCACTGCAAATGTCCACGTGTGTTCAAAATGACTTCAGTATATGTGTGCTATTTAACTCGTTTTGCGTAGAAAAATGATGTCACGCTACTCGTTTAAATACTTTGTACGAAATGCCTTGTACGTTTAAACGTACATTCGTATGCAACATAGCGTGTTGTTTTTATGAGAAAAAAAACTAATCATACATGTACTGAAGTCCACTTTTACACTCGCAGTAATGTAATGGTTCTTTATGTATGTGCGTGTGTTACACTACGTCATCTGCGTTACTGAAAAACACCGAAAATTAGAGGAAAGGAAAGAAAAAAAAGAAACGTCACATACGTAATCCGTGCCAGCCGTACTTCCGTGTGTTGTTGAGTATGTCGTTCAGCGGCATTCGTGACTTTGTGCCACTCAATTCTTAGATGCAGCGACTCGTACTGAGATCATAACGAGGGGAAAACATCCGGACGACTGTTGCTTTCGCGATGATATGTGTTCGTGAATAATTTCGGGAAGACGAGAACGCCGCGTACGTCTTCACGGCGGCGCGTTTTTATTCGCACCCGCGTTATCTTGTGCAAACGCGTCACGAGATTTCCGCCCGAGCGGAGGGGATTACCGCGTCGGCGGGGATCCAAAATTTATGTACCAGCTTCCGTGCGGAAAAGAATGATCCGCGACACACACGCATAGGAGGCGCGTTCGAGAACAAATACCCGCATGTGAGGGGGATTGGTCTTTTTTCTTCGAGAGAGCACTCGCTCGAATAACGACAGCTGCGTTTATATATGCTTCAATAGGTGCCCGAAGCGATGAGTAATCAATTCATTTCGTATTGTTTTATCCTAAAGCAATTTTGAAATTTCTGCTCTGATAAGAATCCCCTCAGAAAAA